ACCGGCGAGCTGTCTACACTGGCCCTTGAATTTCGGGAAAAGCAACGCTGCTCTACTGTACAAAATCAGCCGCTATTCTGGAAAAGCTATTCTGCTCCCGCTCGGGCATAAGTCCTTATTCCAGAACACTGTTCCGGAAAAGGGCCAGTGTAGACAGCCCAGTAGTCTTTTCCGGAAAAAAGCCCCGACCGCGAAAATGGCAATCGGGGCTCTTTTCCGGAAAAGCGCGTCTACATTGGCCACAGACACTTTTCCGGAAAAAGGGCTTTTCCGGAAAAGCAGCCTGCCAATGTAGACGCTCTTTTTCCGGAAAAACTGAAAACGGAATAGTATTCCGTTCTAAGCAGTTCCGGAAATTCATGCTAGTGTAGACACAGCCCACGCGTATTAACTAAAAAAAAAAAAATCAGTTCAAAATAAATCTAAAATTGACTATTTGAAGTTGCTACAGATGTCTTTTCATTACACTGCGGCTATGTCTAGACTGGCATGATTTTCCGGAAATGCTTTTAACGGAAAAGTTTTCCGTTAAAAGCATTTTCGGAAAAGAGCATCTAGATTGGCACGGACGCTTTTCCGCAAAAAAAGGCCCCTAGTTTTCTTGTAAACTTCACTGACTTCTAGAAGAAAGGGGTGACTTCGCTTTCCTGACCTGTTCCTTTGTTAAACACTTTACCAGGCTGTGTTCAGACATTTGTGCCCTATACTGAATTTTGGGCAGCGCACATATAACTAAATGAACATACATGAACAATGAATGTTGCAGAATAACTGCTGTTTGGTAACATTTACAAGATGGAGAAGGGAAACCTGTCTTAATTTTCAGCCTTGGGTTGAGTGTGCTATTCAGTCAGTGCACCCAAAATTTTAACATGTAAGTGATGTCAACAGCTAAGCCATATGACATTCAAGATAGCTTAACTTCTTTAAAAAAAAAATAAGTCCTCTTGACGACCATAAAATTGAGATGTTGGAATCTGATATCCAAATGACTCTTGGGCACGTAATCTTAATATTTTTTTTTTATCTTTCAGTTTCAAATAGGATAAGAATGTAACAGTGTAATGCAAGTGGAATTTCTGTCTCATAGGATTCCAGTTGGAAGATTTTACTGACCTTGGATCTGATTACTTCCTGAAGATGGCAAGTAAAGGGCCCACAACATCTACATCCACTGAAAACTCCAGTACTGGAGGGACCAGTGGCAGCAGCAGTAATGGTGCTGGGGACAATACTAATCAGGACAGCACTTTTGAATGTAACATCTGTTTAGACACTGCCAAGGATGCAGTTATCAGCCTGTGTGGGCACCTCTTCTGGTCAGTATGCTGTTTTCCTTAGGTAGGACAGAATTTGTGAGCTGTGGCAAATAAACTTTTATCATCTAGGAGCTGAGGATGTAACATTTTTCCCCCCCATACCACCATGGTAATGACACCTAGCTCTTCAGGTCCACAGTCTGTCCAATTTGTGCAGATGTCCCACAAACACAATTAAAATGTTAAGCTTCCTATGTGTCTTGTCCAGGTTTGAGCATTAAACTAGATTGCCCTGCTTTTCCACAAAACATCAGTGGTCTGCAAGGGTGTCTTTTGCCTCAAATGTTACTAGTCAAAAGATGCAACAACAGGAAATAAATCTGTGTTCATTTTTTAATGTAACAGTTTATCAAGGGTTGATATTGCTAATTGTGTGGGTTTTTTCACTCTATGGATTAAATTCTGGTCTCGGTTAACCTTTGTGGTTGCATGAGTGTAAGCAAGTAGAATGTGGTTTCTCGTGTCAACATGTCAGGTGGAGGGCCTTGTTACCAGGATTTTCTTACAATGGAACCTTCTTGTGATTACAGCTTTTTTATTAAACCACCTAAATGGGGTGACTTTTACACCAGGATTGAAGTTTCTGTCTTTGGGAGGATAATCTGCATATTGTTTATACCACCAAGGGTATGTCTACACTAGCCCCCAGTTTGAACTAGGGTGGCTAATGTAGGCATTTGAAGTTGCAAGTGAAGCCCGGGATTTAAATATCCCGGGCTTTATTTGCATGTTCCCGTCCGGTCGCCATTTTTAAATTCCACTAATCTGAAGTAACTGCCCGCGGCTACACGTGGCAGTGAAACGGCAATTTGAACTAAGTCCTTAGTTTGAATTAACTGTTACTCCTCCTGGAATGAGGTGTAACAGTTAATTTGAACTAAGGACTTAGTTTGAATTACCGTTTCACTGCCGCCTGTAGCCGTGGGCAGTTACTTCAGATTAGTGGAATTTAAAAATGGCGACCGGACGGGAACATGCAAATAAATCCCCGGGCTTCACTTGCAACTTCAAATGCCTACATTAGCCACCCTAGTTCAAACTGGGGGCTAGTGTAGACATACCCCAAGAGAGCAGTTGATTTCAAGTGTCCTTTGATAAGCAGTCTTGTCTTGTGGCCTGTTATTGTTTAGTTTTGACATTTTTTAAAAAGTTACTGCAAGGACTTCGATTTGAAGTTATGTGTCTTAAAGAAGCTAGAATAACCCTACTCTGTTCCACATGCTTCATACCCATTTTAGAATTAACAGCATGCTTCATAATGTATATTTCTCTCTACCCCTCTCAGCATTTTAGCCATGTGATCCTCCCTTAATTCTTAAAATCCTAATGTCATACAGCTGGCATCTTATTAATTTGGATGTTTGCCTAGGACATGAGTTCATGGGATCAGAGAGCAGAATCTGTGCAAGAAGGTCCAGAAAGGTGAATTTAAGTCCTTGGCTGTGTCTACACTGGCATGAATTTCCGGAACTGCTTAAAACGGAATACTATTCCGTTTTCAGTTTTTCCGGAAATGGAGCATCTACATTGGCAGGCTGCTTTTCCAGAAAAGCCCTTTTTCCGGAAAAGCGTCTTTGGCCAATGTAGACGCGCTTTTCCGGAAAAGAGCCCCGATCGCCATTTTCGTGATCGGGGCTTTTTTCC